GGCTCGCGGAGCCTCCTCCCCAGTGCCTCCCCTCCCCCAGCGCGCCAGCTGGTTGTCCCCGCTGGCTTCTCTTCCCAGTTGCGCTGTTTTCTGGGCTCCAGTCTGCAGCCTTGGGCAAAGTAACCGGGCTTCACCGCCCTCTCCACCCTGCCCTTCCCCGCGCCCTTTCTGGACACTGCCTTTGCTTCCGAGCTTTCCTGGCCGCTGATCCGGCGCGATTACCCTCTGTCTAAAATTTGTCCCTAGATGCTTTCCCTTTATGCCTGAAAAATCCCCAAACCAGAGCAGGAAATAGGCTGAGATCTGGGATCGGAACTGGAAAGGGTAGGCAAACTAGCAAAAGACTGAGGCTTTCCACTCTGAGACTGAAGTCGCTGTGAACCTGAGACAGCCTGTGTGCAGGCAGCCGCTTGCCTCTTTATGCAACCCCAAGGAGCCAGCCAAGACCCTTGTCCCCTCTTCTGAGGAAAAGGCCCAGCAACCTGGCCAGAGCTGTGTCCTGTGAAAAGCAGCTGGAAAGTTCTGCTCCCTGTGCCAGGAGACACTTTCAGCGCTTGACCCTCAGGTGGTGAAATGCTGTCTGGTACCCCTGTTCCCTCCTGGCTACCAGACCAGATGGGAAAAGCTGTGCACCTGGGCCCTAGATTTCCCTTGATGCTTTTGGAAATACATTTACTGAGATGATTCACCCCATTTTGTTTCTGCTTGAGAATGAATCTAAGTCAATCTATTAGGACAAGCCTATTAATTATAATGTTAACATCAGGAGCCTTTTCTTGCTTCTCGTCATTATGATTAAATGTGTTTCAATTCCTCTGTGAGACACCCTGGGGAATGCATGTGTTGCTGGGTCTTCAATTGTTATCGCTGGTCATTTGCCCTACACATGCTTTACTCCAGCCCCAAGCAATACTTTTACGTCTTCATGCCTTTGCTCAGACTGGTCCTCCTGCTTGAAAGGCTCCTTTCCTGAGTCCTTAACACAAATTCTACATCCTTTAAGGTTGGAATCACCTCTCCTCTTCTTCCAGCAAAGCCTTCTGTAACTCTACAGGCAAACCAAGTGGTTCTTTTTTTCCAGTATTTCCAGCTGAACTTGGCTCATCCCTCCATGGTTGCCCTGAGTTGTCATCTGTTCATTCTCCACATTATTTTTTAAGGTGATACTGATAGATATTCTGGACAGAGACTTACTATTTCCATTTACCTCTGAATCAACCGTGCCAGTACATAATAGGTACACGGTTAATGGTGGTGGAAT